GTGGATGCATGGAGCTGGTGAAAAGTGGTCAGATTTTGGATGTATCATGAAGATGTCTAATTTTGTGACAGGATGTGTTTACAGGTTGGGATTAGATGAGGCTTTCATCAATTCTGCTCAGAGAGCACATTCTTGCTGCTCTGTTGAGAGTCCACCACAGAATAGAGTACTTCTTTCAGTCTTGTTTGTAATAGGCCCAAGATACATGTATATTCTTATTGTTTGAGAAAAATTGTTTACTCCTTTATTTACTTCACTCAATAAATGCCTTTTTAAAAAAATATGTTTTCATCAATTTTTAGAGAAAGAGGAGGGGAAGAAGGAGAGAAGGAGAAATATCAATGTGAGAAATATCGATTGGTTGCTTCTTGTACACACCTTGACTGGGGATTGAATCCACAACCTGGGCAGGTGCCCTGACCAGGGATCAATATGGTGACCTTTCGGTGCACTGGATGGCGCTCAATCAATTGATCAATTGAGCCACACCGGCCAGGGCTCAATAAATGCTTTTTTGAGCATCTGCTGTGATCCAGGCACTGTCATAACACCAGGGATACAACATTGTTCGTGTTACTTTCCTGTGGGTAAGCTCTTATTTGGCTCTCCACTCACAGGATGATATGTGCAAAGGATAGAGTAATAGAGGAAGTGGGGTGGAAGGTGCAATATGAGCCAGATCCTGTATCTCATAGGCCATTTTAAGGAATTTAAATTTGACTAAAATGAAGGTACTTTAGAATATTCTGTGCAAAAGAGTGGCATGGTCTGACTTAATTTTTTAAAAGGATCATTCTTTCTGCTCTATTGACAGAAGACATAAGGTGGTAAGGTGGAAACATTGAGATCTATTGTGAAGTTATGTAGTAATCCAAGTGAGTGATGATGGTGGCTCCCAGGGTGGACTCAGACCAGGGTGGACGCATGGAGCTGGTGAAAAGTGGTCAGATTTTGGATGTATCATGAAGATGTCTAATTTTGTGAAGGTATTTAACTTTGAAGATACCATCATCAGAATTTGAGGGTAATTCCTAGTGTGACTTAAGTTCCCAGGATAACAAAGCTGCAGTCAACTGAGGAGAGATGTACCTTAATTATTGAAATTGTGCTGAGATGGTTTCAGAAAGGCTTTAGAAAGTATTAGTTTCCTAAACTATTCAAATCTAATGGGCGTTCCTTTAATATTTCAAATAACAATGTTTACAAGAAAAGTATTTTTATTAGAATTAAAGCTTAGCTGCAAACATTCCACACAACTGAAATCTATCCTATATAATAAAGAAGTAATATGCAAAGTAACCCTCACATACTCACAAGATGGCTGCCTATGACCAGGCTGGCAGGGAGTTAGTGAGAGATGACCAAATGACTGAACAAGCAGGCTGCGTGGGGTGACAAGGGCGGCAGGGGGGTTAGTGATGGACCACCAAATGACTGAATAGCAGGCTGTGTGGGGTGACCAGACCAGTGGGGCGGGGGAAGTTAGGAGTGACCAGGCCAGCAGGGAGGGGGCAGTTGAGGGCGATCCGGCCAGCACGCAGAGGCAGTGAGGGGTGATCAGGCTGGCAGGGGGGGGCAGTTAGGGGCAACCAGGCAGGCAGGC